TCTTAGTGTTTAAAATATTTATTTTGAAACAAATTCATTAATTTCTTAATTAAACAAACAGACTTAGTGGGTGAGCAGGGTAGGCTAAGACAGCTGTCATATCATACCCTGCCATGCCCAGCTGATGCAAAGAATATAATTTATATCTACACAGAAGAAAGCCCTGTCTAGACTCTGCCCCGGTACAAGTTGTGTCGAGCTATTCATTAGCCTGTTTGTTTGATGAAAAAAGATGAAATGTAGTTGCAATAGATGTGTTAAGAATCCATACAACTGCAGCAGCAGAGGACTATTATTCTGCTGCGTGATACTGCAGAAGAACTGATGACGGCACGGTTTGATCTTCGGCTGACCAATCAGCAGAAAGGGGAGTTTAATTCCCGCCCACATGTAGAAATCGAATATTCAAGCTGTTTATTAATTTTTCCACCCATGAACGAAAAACGAAAATTTAAGCTGAATTCTAGGAAAAAAACGAAAAAGGAGCCGTTTTCTCATTTTTCTACTTTCAATATTAAATCAAAAAACGAATGATCGAATGATACACGGATTCCCCTGCCTGCCTACAAATGATCTTCAAATGAAGGAAGGCAAATGAACATGAACATTAAAATGTATGTTGCCACTTCACTGTACTCTCCAAAGGCAAAATGCAGCAACTACACCAACAATGGAACTGAGGAAATGGCTTCAAATTTCTTTGATTGCATTTTGATTGATGTGATATGAATTTCCACACTCCACTTTCTCTTAATCTGAACAGTTCATTCAACCCAGCCAACAAAAGGAGTGGTACATGTGTATTCAGGAAGAGTATGCAATTATTATTATTAAAGGGGTCATATGATGTTGCTAAAAAGAACATTATTTTGTGTATTTGGTGTAATGCAATGCGTTTATTTGGTTTAAGGTTAAAAAAACACATTATTACATACATTTTTGTTTCTCCTCTATGACCCGCCTTTCTGAAACACATCGTTTTTTTACAAAGCTCATCGTTCTGAAAAGCGAGGTGTGCTCTGATTGGCCAACTATCCAGTGCGTTGTGATTGGCCGAATACCTCAAGCGTATGACGGAAATGTTACTCCCCTACCATACTGTGATGAGACAAAACCAGTAAAACCCATTACAAACGAGGGATTTATTGCATCCAGTGGGGACATAATTACGGGTTATAATGACTCATACTGTCTTTTTACACTTTGCGTTGCATCGCGCCGCGTAAACATAAAACCATGTCTGCATTTGTGATCGGAGAAATGACAAACAACAAGCGCTACGCTTATACAAATACCTCAAGCGTGTGACGGAAATGTTACTCCCCTCACCATACTGTGATGAGACAAAACCAGTAAAACCCATTACAAACGAGGGATTTATTGCATCCAGTGGGGACATAATTACGGGTTATAATGACTCATACTGTCTTTTTACACTTTGCGTTGCATCGCGCCGCGTAAACATAAAACCATGTCTGCATTTGTGATCGGAGAAATGACAAACAACAAGCGCTACGCTTATACAATACAACTTAACCACTGATTTCTAGTCGTGTCCTCTTTTGGAAGGCCAAACAAAGTATTTTCGCTTTCGTAACGAAACAACGTGGCGGCGGTGGTGGCAGCAACAATAAAGTTACGCCTTCTTTCTAATACCTCAAGCGTATGACGGAAATGTTACTCCCCTACCATACTGTGATGATCCCCTACCATACTGTGATGAGACAAAACCAGTAAAACCCATTACAAACGAGGGATTTATTGCATCCAGTGGGGACATAATTACGGGTTATAATGATTCATACTGTCTTTTTACACTTTGCGTTGCATCGCGCCGCGTAAACATAAAACCATGTCTGCATTTGTGATCGGAGAAATGACAAACAACAAGCGCTACGCTTATACAATACAACTTAACCACTGATTTCTAGTCGTGTCCTCTTTTGGAAGGCCAAACAAAGTATTTTCGCTTTCGTAACGAAACAACGTGGCGGCGGTGGTGGCAGCAACAATAAAGTTACGCCTTCTTTCTTTGCGTGAACATTTAGGCGGCGTTATGCAAATCTTCCCACATAGTGACGTAGACACGTGTTTAAACGAGGCGTTTTAGAAGGGTGTGGACCAGTCTTAAGAATATCTCTTTGGGTTTGAGACTTTAGCTAGTCTTCACAACTTCAGGGATCTTATCTATTCACAAACAGCTTATAACACTCCAAAGAGAAAGGAAAACTTGAAATCGCATCTTATGACCCCTTTAATATTATTATTATTATGCATCACATTAGACTTTAACAGTTTTGCAAAACATCTGTTGCCCTCTTGACTGTACACTTGTGTGAAAACCTTTGTTCCCTAAAAAAACTAGAAAATTCTACTGAAATAAAATACATCATTACTCTGATGTGCAATCAAATACACATGATTAGAGTAGTAAGGATTCTTTGTATTAAAAATACTAAAATACTCTAAATAATGTGTACAGCTTATTAAGTGAAATATATTCACCAATAAATGCCAACTACAAATGTTGCTACTTCCCCTTTCATAATACTCATTAATAAAATCAATACTTAAAAAACTAAATATAGAAGTTGAGTTGTATTAAAAAAAAATCTTTGCAACTTTGTGGCACACTGTAGTTACAATTACAGCTTTTAATAACACAGGAATGTCATCAATTCTTGTTTAATAACAGGCGAGTTTTATAAACTACAAGCAATTTAGGACATTTGTAAACCTTTGGCAATGACTGATCTTGCATCTTCTGATTCTGATGATCACAAAGAAGTTATGGCTTCAACAAATTTGCAAAATATGTATTTGTAATGCATTCTGTTTCCCATTATTTGATCCCTGAACCACTGTGACTGTCTCTATCAGGTTGGCCTTTGTCTGTAAATATTAGTTTAAGTATATTATTATATGATTAATTCTGAACCAGATGGCATGCATTTGATTTATTTCCATTAAAAACATTTTTTTTAACAAAGTGTAAAAAAAATGTAAATAATCCCTGGATTATAACTGATCTCTATATAGACCAGTGAATATTCCACAAATAATTACAAGGACTAGGATGTGTACCAAGAGCTATCTATTTATGGATTCAATCATAAGAAATTCCTTAGGGCTCCTGAACTAACTAATCTTTAGTCACGTGATGTAAACATTTACATTTATGGACCTATTGGACAGCGCTTCTTTCTACCTATTCAATCTAGTATTTGTTACTCGAAGATATTATAATTATTAATAATTCTACTTCTCCATGTGTTCGGTCAAATACTTGGGTTATACAGTATATTTCACAAGAGTTCATCTCTTGCATTAACATCAACATTTGTAACTATCTTAGATATTCGGTTATGAAAAGATCGCATACAACTACTTTTGTGTGTGTGTGTGTGTGTGGGAAGGTATTTCTTTCATTTGAATTAATATACATTTTATTTCAAAAAGTCGTATTTGCTTGGCCCACCTAACAGTGGCATGTCTAGAGAGCCAGTGAATTTCTGCATGAACCCAGTACAGTGTTCTCTAGCTGCAAGAATTTATAAAGTGTACTATACTTACAGTAGGGTGGAAGACACGGCTCAAAATGAATCTCAACAGCCCGTTGATGATCAAACCGCGGTTTGTGAACTCTCATTCCTCACGGATCCATTCAGGCAGCTCTGCGCATCCCACACACTTCCGCAATCGGGGGTGTGCTCAGTGCGCAGCGAACCAGACCTTTCCGCTCATACACGCGTACATTTTACGCATACTTTTTTTTTAAACTACGATAGCACTGAAGACATTTCGTTTTACAGCATGCAAGAAACACGTTACAGAGTTACAATATATGTAAAAAATGCAACCAATGAAACAAGTACTAATAAAAAAGGTGACAGGAGTGTAATAAAAAGTTTCATATTACCTACAGGTGCATCTCAATAAATTAGAATGTCGTGGAAAAGTTCATTTATTTCAGTAATTCAACCAATCATGTATACACTAATACTCATTTGATTTTAAATGTATATAGAATGCACTATCGGTTGTTTACATGAATTTATAGTTATGAATTTACGAATTTAAGACCATAACCTATGAAGAGCATGGCTATTATAATAGATAGGCTATTTATTTCAATGGTTGCCATTTATTTCTCAGCAGATTTTTTTTTTTTGCACCCACAATAATATAGTTACATGTAAACCAGCAAACCCTTGTACTAATAATCTAAACATAAAATATACTTATCTAGAACAATTTGAGTTTGTGATATATGCATATTAGCTTAAATTATTTCTAAAATTAATTAATTCTGTCTTTGATTTAAAGCTTTGGGCTTAACATAAAAAAAAATCATAAGATACATGTTTTTAAGTAATTATACAGCCATGCAATACGTTGTACTTTTGTAACAGTTACACAAGATCCTGCAGACTCTGAGATTTTATCTGACCACTACTCAGCACAATATACTTGCAATAACACACAGACGGAAACTGATCATGATAGAAATTATATTCATCCAGGTATCAGCACCAGTGACCTATATTATTGATAAAAAAAAACATAAGTACTTTAAACACAGCGATGTTACAAACCTTGAAATAGAGGCTACAATAAAAATTACATCTAAATTAAGAAAATAGGCTACAATGTTAAAGGGTTAGTTCACCCAAAAATGAAAATTAGCCCATAAATTACTCACCCTCAAGTCATCCCAGGTGTATATTAATTTCTTCTTTCAGACGAATTCAACCGCAGTTATATTATAAATGGTCTTTGATCTTTCAAGCTGTTTAATGGCACTCAGCGGGTGTTGCATGCATCAGTCCAAAAGCAGTTAAATAAAATGCGCCCATCCATTAAAAAAAAGTGTCTCACATGGCTCCGGGGGGTGAACAAAGGCCTTCTGTAGCGAATCGATGCGATTTTGTAAGAAAAATGTCCATATTCAAAACGTAATAATCACTTTAATCTAGTTTGCGCCAACAGTTGTACACGGAAGCAGCTCCAGGCGGATGACGTATGAGTTCAGCGCTGTTCATGCGCCGGTGAGTCTCGTGAAAACCAACGTTTGTTAACAGGAGCAAAGGAAGCAAAGTTTCCTTACTTTAGCAAAGGAAAACCAGTCTCCTCTTGGCTTATATCAAAATCCTCCGACATTCTTCTTTACAAATCCTCGTTTTGTACTTCTAATAAGTGACCGTTGTTTTGTTTTGATCTCTCCGCTGTGTTTCCGCGTGCGTCACTTCTGAGCGGTGCATGCTCAAAGCCGACCTCAAAAGTCATTCCCCTGGAACTGCTTCTGTGTACAACAGTGAGCCCAAGCTACATTAAAGTGATTATTACGTTTTGAATATGGACATTTTTCTTACAAAATCGCATCGATTCGCTACAGAAGGCCTTTGTTCACCCCCCGGAGCCATGTGAGACACTTTTTTTATGTATGGGCACTTTTTATTTAACTTCTTTTGGACTGATGCATGCAACACCCGCTGAGTGACTTTAAACAGCTTGAAAGATCAAAGACAATTTTTGATATAACTCTGACTGGATTCGTCTGAAAGAAGAAAGTCATATACACCTAGGATGACTTGAGGGTGAGTAATTTATGGGCTACTTTTCATTTTTGGGTGAACTAACCCTTTAAGAGGTTGTACACCAGGCTGTGCAATGATTCGATTTTTTTGACAGGAATGGTTCACACAAAAATAAAAACTGAAATGTATTCACCCTAATGGTGTTACAAACATGACTGACTTTCTTCTGCAGAACATACAAACAAGAGTTTTGAGAACAACACTGTACCCCATTGACTCTCTTTGAATTTTGAAACTTGAGACATCTTTTATCTTTTCAAAATTATATTTTGCGTGGGTTTGTTTTGCAGTAGAAAGAGAGTCATACATAGAGCAGAGGGTGAGTAAAATTATTTTTATTTTTTAAAAATATTTAACTATTATTCATTTTTGGTAAACTACCCCCTAATCTTTAGATTTCAAACGGGATACAACAAGACTTTGATATCAGTTAACATTGGAAAAAATCAAGTGTTTATTGTGCAGCATTTCCTTACAAAAACAAGAATGTTGCAATACCTGCTGTTACAAATACAGTTGCAAAGTAAACGAAGAGAAAGACACAATGATTATGTGCTATAACAGGACTGTGTAAAGGAAATTTCCCTACCTTCAACAAAACAACCATATTGAAAAGAGTTTCAATTTAGTGGCCAACTTAGATGATTATTTATTCTAGTTTTTCTTTTATTCATTTGAGGGAAATCAAGAAAACAGTAAAAGTCTTCTAAAATAGTCTATGCAGAAATACATGTATAGAAATTCCTTGGAAATAATGTCAATTCCTAGATATTACTTTCAAAATAAGGCACAATTTCAATAGTAAGAGGTAGAAATCTTGCAGTGAATTTGGCCTGACATAAAAGAGCATTTTAAAGGTAAACTGCTAGAAGTCGTCAACAATATTTCATTATATGACTGTTTCATACTTCAATACTCAGGTGCTTAAAGTTTACAAAAATAAGGCTTAGTATTCACACAAAGCCCATTGTCTGTCAAAAATTAAATTAAAGCACATTTACAGTAGTTTACTCGTTTCAATTCCTATCTCACAACCTCAATCTAACTATTCAACAGTTATCTATTCTAGACTCAAGATTGAAGTTAGCAGTAAATAAAGCCATTTGGCATACTTTAGTATGAGATTTAGTGCATACTTTTCAACAAATGTGATATATGGCAAAGCAGTGCTTTTAAGGAATTACTCAGTTGTGGTAATGTATTTGGCACTTGTTCACTTTCTATTATCTGCATATGAGGAATTTTGTTTAGATTTCGGTTTTGTATGGAAACGACTCTACCGTTAAGGCATGTCAGTTCTGTAGATGTTCATACATTATGTGATTGTGCATTCAAGACATGGAATAAAGCGAATTCCATCTATTTCAAAAACGTAAAAACTGCAGCTGGTGTTGAATCTGTTTTTCAGAAACTAATTTGGAGAAGAAGAAAAAAAAAACTAGCAAGATAATTCTGCAGAAGTGCAAAGATCGTTTACACATAGGGGTTTAGAATTTGCATCAAAACGAAATCAAAATAAATAGCTTTTTCCAAACACGAAAATACACACTAGCGAAGCACACCAAATCCCTGGTCACAATTTAAACTCTTATGGAAAAGGAAAAAAGTGGAGCATATGAAACACAGTCCACACAGGTGAGCCTCTCAGAAGCGTTAAAATGCCTTCACCCTCAGTACGCGGGAGGCTGATAGCCTCCCTGTCCCGCAGAACTGGCGGTGAATGGGGACTGCTGGTAACCCTCTGGAGCACCAGCATATGCAGAAGGGTATGGGGAAGTATGGTCGCCGGCTGGATCATTGTAGCCTAGGCCAACCTCGTCCATTCCTTGGCGGTATCGTCGAAATGCAAGCACAGTTAGCATGGCCTTGAGAAAAAGGGTGATACTTGTTTCAGTTTATCAAATAGACAAGGAGACCATCAGGCAGCAACAGGAAGTCTAATAAAGTGAGATGTGCTCACCCAGGTGGCAGTGGAGAAGAAGGAAAAGGCCACCACAGCTCGAGCTGCATCAGCTATTACAGCTGTTTGAGTAGTGTGAGACCACTGATTGGCTAGGAAGCAGAAACACACAAACCACAGGAACGTCCACGCACCTGATTAGAAAAACGGAGAGAAACATAAAGGGTTTGTTCTCCCACAAGTGAAAATTCTGTCATCATTTACTCAACCCCACGTCATTCCAGAAAATCATTAAAAAAAATAACAATAATAATTCTTACCAGAGAAACCAAGATCACCCAAGACGATGTATTTTCTGTCGTTGGCATTGCTTATCTGGGGGAAGTAGGCATCCAGCACAATAAAGACAACACAGGCCAGGAAAGCTAAAATTCCAATACCAATTCCATAGCTGCAAGCACTGTCATTCTGATTGAACATGCATTTAGTGGTGTCTACATGCTCTTCATTCATGTAGCCTTCAGAAAGGATGGTAGCAAACACCACTATGGAGAAGAGCTGCGACGGAAAGAAACAGAGGCAGAATTAGGGACAACAATATAATCTCTTTAATAATGCATCCTCACAGGCGTAAGAAACACCAAAGAAACTACTATTGAGACATTGTCATGTCTGAATGGGAATCTGTCTAAAGATTTAACATTTAAAATGTAATCTTTTTGGTGTGCTCATGCTTACACTATATTTCTTAAAAACATGAATGTCTTTGCGGTAAATAATAAAACATAAAAATATGCCAAACTCTCTTAATAGCTACTATCTGGGGCCAGTGTAACTTCAAGGGATAGTTCACCCAAAACTCCTAACCCTTTAACAGTACTATTGTAGTAAATGGTTTAGATTTGCGAAAGAAAGAAAGAAAGCACACGCAAACTAGCTGCATAAAACTAAGTATTACAGAACTGTGCCATGTTAACATCTTGATTTTACTGGCGTTGACAAGTCACATGATGCAGACCTCAACATCAAACTCCCAAACTACTGCTGCCATGTGCTCTGTGCTTTGCAACTTACGACAGCCGAATTTAGTTTTGCGTCTAAACTCTGTTCAACTAACACAGTTTGAGGCCAGCCAGAATAATGTCCCACACTTTGACCATCATCGAGTAGGAGCACTAGCTCATTAGCTAACGATGATTTAGATCTCACCCAACTGAGCAGCCGGACGACAGTCTGCGGTCGTTTCAGAAAGCCCCAGAAATCAAAGGCTCCACCGGCCAGCGAAGCACCGTAAGCACTCGTCTCCATGTCCGCGTTTGTGACCCTGTAGCCCCTCGTTATTATCGCTCAGCGCTTCGGCAGACTGTCCAGCTTAATGATCTGCTATTTACTTTCACAATTGTTTCCTGAAAGTAGCGCAGCACCACCCATCGAGGAAGTACACGTCACGTCAGAACGAACATTCACAGGCAGGCAGTTATTATTATTATTATGATTATCAAACATAAACAGCCCCTGTTTTACACACGTCCTGCATGTGTGTCAAACTATCTATCTATCTATCTATCCATCATCTATCTATCTATCTATCTATCTATCTATCTATCTATCTATCTATCTATCTGATGGTTTCTATCCATTATCCATCCATCCATCCATCCATCTATCTATCTGATGGTTTCTATCTATCTTATCTATCTGATGGTTTCTATCCATTATCTATCTATCTATCTATCTATCTATCTATCTATCTATCTATCTATCTATCTATCTATCTATCTGATGGTTTCTATCCATCATCTATCTATCTATCTATCTATCTATCTATCTATCTATCTATCTATCTATCTATCTATCTATCTATCTATCTATCTATCTATCTATCTGATGGTTTCTATCCATCATCTATCTATCTATCTATCTATCTATCTATCTATCTATCTATCTATCTATCTATCTATCTATCTATCTATCTATCCATCCATCCATCCGTCTATCTATCCGTCTATCTATCTGTCTGTCTCTGTCTGTCTCATATTAATAATTAATATAATACAGGCTGTCATTCTGTTGATCTAGTCCTCTGGCAAAACTACAAGTGGCTTCAGTAGTCAGCAGCTGTTTGATATATGGCATGGACATGCTCAAATATTTATGAGTGTAAAGACTTTTCCAGTGTTGTGCTGTTTGTTCGTGTGTAGTCTTGGTGTTTCATCACAGTTTGCACACAAGAGTTTACACCGCTTTAATCTAACTGCAGAAGTAGGCCTGTTGTTTGAGGGATGACCATTTGATAATCTGTAGAGACTCGTTCACAGATTTTACACAAACTTTAAACACCGAAACACTTTTTCATTTATTCGTATGTTTGTTGGCATTTTAATGATTCTCTCAGAACTCTGAAGTAAATGTGTAAGTATGAATATAGTCCTCTAGGTGGCGCTATTAATCTACTTTTAATTCAAAGTTTCACCCAGAAATGAATGTTCATTATTTGTTTACATAGCTCATGTCTTTCAAACCTGAGTGCATTTATTTAGTGGAACACAAAATGAGATATTTAAAAAATGTCCAGTCAACATTGGACCCCACTGGCTTTCATTGTATGGACTATGAAAGAAAAAAACATATGTTACCCTGTTGAAAAAAACAGCATATGCTGGTTAGGTATGTTTTGACGCTGGGATGCTGGTTTAAACTGGTCCTTTGCTGGTTTAAGCTGGTCATTTTGCTGGTTTAAGCTGGTCCTTTGCTGGTTTAAGCTGGTCATTTTGCTGGTTTAAGCTGGTCCTTTGCTGGTTTAAGCTGGTCCTTTTGCTGGTTTAAGCTGGTCCTTTGCTGGTTTAAGCTGGTC